CAAGCTCGCTATGTCTTTAAGGTTGCCTTTTTTACACCCGGCTGGGGACGGACTACCGATGAAAATTAGCACTTTTGAGCTAACTCGGGTACATTTACATTGTTTTAATGTTGATTAATGTACACTGTCCCTTTTCAAATAAAGAGAAATGAAATGAAAAATGCCGCTGCACGCTCAATCCACTGCATCAATTAGTGGTATCCACTAATTAGTGGTATATTAAACAAAATATAGTAACACCTATATAGCTGTGACTATATTTTGTTTAAAGCTCCAGTCCGCAACTTTAAGTTAAAAATAATCCAAAATAATTATATTTAAAAAAACTTATTCTGCCAGTGGTCAAAACTATCTGCTTGCCATAGCTAGATTCAAAACGGTTAGCTTGTAATAATGATTTTAATTCCAGTGGTACTGGTGTGTTTCCGCGGGAAATTCGAGCATGTCTTTGCGTCATGACGTCACACCCGTACACATAAAGAAGGAGTTTCGGCTAGCCGGCTATACTGCGCGTGACAAGATGTTTAGATGTATAGGCTTTTCTCGCAGCACTTTACATAATTAAACTTATGGCATGCAGAAAGATCCAAACAACAATCATCAGTGTCAACTGGAGATTCAGCAGTTATAAAACCCAAAAGACTTCGTACTTCGGATTTAAAGGAGAACTCCGGCGCAAAAAATGAACCTTTGGTCTAATTACACATTGTTACCTAGTCAACCGTTATCTGAGATTTGTTTTCATGATAATCGAATGTAAAGAGTTTTATCTCTAAAAACTGTTTAGCGTATAACGCTAGTAATGGGGGCATCTATTAAGTAAAAAGAAATCGCTAGTTTATACCACTAACAAGACTCAAAATAGCCCCACACTAACACAGTAACATAATGAGGGTCCCTACCTTCAAACCGAAGCATTGAGAACTTTGTAAGTGTACAGACAGTTTAATAAGAAGATATTTTAAACATACAGTCAACTTCGCGTATACAGGCAGAATCCATCTTTGAAATACAGCCTTTACCAGTCGATCTACGAACGCCGATCCAAGTGCGCTGGTGAGATGTGAACGAGCTATAAGTTGTGATAAGGTGAGCGCGAACAGCAGGCTTGGATCGGCGTTCGTAGATCGACTGGTAGAGACTGTATTTCAAAGATGGATTCTGCCTGTATACGCGAAGTTGACTGTATGTTTAAAATATCTTCTTATTAAACTGTCTGGACACTGACAAAGTTCTCAATGCTTCGGTTTGAAGGTAGGGACCCTCATTATGCTACCGTGCTAGTGTGGGGCTATTTTGAGCCTTGTTAGTGGTATTAACAAGCGATTTTTATTTGTCATTACACTATGCCCAATATACTAGCGTTATACTAGCTTTATAGGCTAAACTGTTTGTAGAGATAAAACTATTTACATTCGATAATCATGAAAACAAATCTCAGATAACGGTTGACTAGGTAACAATGTGTAATTAGACCAAAGGTTCATTTTGCGCCGGAGTTCTCCTTTAAGGTGGCTAGAGAAAGAGAAAGAAACCGTCTCATGCGAACACAAGGATTTAAACATCGGCGGGGCTTTTGAAAAGTGCGTGAACTCCGTGTTTTGAAGGGGTTCAAAACGGAAGAAGAGACGGCTTTTTTCTGCTGAACAAGTAAGACATTTCAATAGTTCAATCGTGTAACAGTACGTTTTCTTAATTCACAGTTATGGAGTTTCCTTTGTTGTGCCTTTCTCGTTTTGCTATTATGGAGAATATGAATTCTGAACTACGCAGGTAGCTGCTAACCATAAAACACATTAAATTTAACATTAGTCACGCAATGCTGATGTTGTTAACATGAACAATTTGAGAACAAAGTAGGCTATAATTTGCACAGTTGCTGTAAATCGCGTTGATTAAATCTAACGAAGCTTATCATGTCGAATGCTTTTTCCCCCTTAGTTGGTCAGAACAAAAATGGATTTTACTTACTTGTTCAGAAGACATTTTCTTATGAAAATTCTTATGTTGGTCAAACTTTCAAAAAGTGAATCCGTGATTCTGTATGACAGTATCCACACAGCGCGGTGACTGACAGCAGCACTCGCCTCAAAGCACTGTGTTCATCCGCGCTGTTTCATGCCGATTTACAACCCACGTAAAGATGATAATTCCGCGAATCACTACAGTTACAGATTTTGAACAGAGAGATGGCGACAAAGAGGAAAAGATACGGACTGCAGCTTTAATATACCACTAAATATAGATACATTTACTTCATAGACAGCCTTCTCTTTTATCCCCAATGAAAGAAGGGTTGCAACAACTAGCTAATTGTTAAAATCGATTAATTATCGATAATGAAAATAATCGACAATTATTGATTAGACGCATCTGCACGCTGTGCTCGTAAACCAGACAGTCACGTCACTTTATAGTAGTGAATAACCCATTTCTATGGACAAAACACACATGGAAAATCAGAGTGAAGTGAACTGCTCCGGGAAAGGTACATTATCCAAGTTGTCCTAAAACATGAGAATGCTTTATATTTATAAGCGCTTCAAACTAAAGCATAAGTTTTTACCACGTTTCACCCTGTCGCGTTAATGTGCGTTCCTCAGAGTGGTTTGTGACTGGAACTTATGTGTTTCAATGGCAACACTATCAACGGCGAAATTAATCTGCAGCAGTCAGGTGGTACAGGTCAGCGCTCTTTAAGTTGTTTATGTTCATTATTATTGTAATGTTAAGTGCTTTGAGACATGAGGTAGTTTAAAGGAGAACTCCGGCGCAAAATGAACCTTTGGTCTAATAAAACATTGGTACCTAGTCAACCGTTCTCTGAGATTTGTTTTCATGATAATCGAATGTAAAGAGTTTTATCTCTAAAAACTGTTTAGCGTATAACGCTAGTAATGGGGGCATCTATTAAGTAAAAAGAAATCGCTAGTTTATACCACTAACAAGACTCAAAATAGCCCCACACTAACACAGTAACATAATGAGGGTCCCTACATGCAAAACGAAGCATTGAGAACTTTGTAAGTGTACAGACCGTTTAATAAGAAGATATTTTATGAAGACATTTGAAATACGTGTATACAGACAGGAGCCATCTTTGGAAAACAGTCTCGACTAATCAAACCACGAACGCCATTCATACAATTCAGAAGTTCACTGAACTTGATACAGTTTAGCTCACTTAGCACGTCGTTCGTGGTTTGACTAGTTGAGACTGTTTTCCAAAGATGGCTCCTGTCTGTATACACGAAGTGGACTGTCTTCATAAAATATCTTCTTATTAAACGGTCTGTACACTTACAAAGTTCTCAATGCTTCGGTTTGAAGGTAGGGACCCTCATTATGTTACTGTGTTAGTGTGGGGCTATTTTGAGTCTTGTTAGTGGTATAAACTAGCGATTTCTTTTTACTTATTGTATGCCCCCATTACTAGCGTTATACGCTAAACAGTTTTTAAAAATAAAACTCTTTACATTCGATTATCATGAAAACAAATCTCAGAGAACGGTTGACTAGGTACCAATGTTTTATTAGACCAAAGGTTCATTTTGCGCCGGAGTTCTCCTTTAACGCCGTCTCTCATCTTGTGGCGCTTTGCAGATTCAGTTGTGCGCGAGAAGAAGCTGTGGCTTTGGAGACGCTCTGAAGTGAGGGTGGGATCTCATGCTTTCAAAGCTAACGTGCTATTGCTAACCACGTCAAAAATTGCCTACCCCACCCTTAGCTGATGAAATAATAATAATTCATTATTTAACACCATATACAGTGAAAAAGTTAAATCTTCTGAGACCGTTATCATACTGTGAAAATCTTAATACCGTTACAACCCTGGTGGCACCTAAAAAATCATTTACCCCCAATTTTCTGGAGCCCTGTATTGAGATTTCATTTTTTTTGGCTGGATCGCCCAGTCTTAGTCATCAGTAGCACAAATCTGTCTGGGATTGTGTAATATCACAGATAAGGAATGGAGTCAGAAGCAGAAGGGCAGTAAATTCATGAATTCATATCCTGATCCATCAAACAAAGCAAACTGAAGTGCTTGAACACTGACAGACACTTCGGCAGTATGTCTTGAAGCCGAGTCTTCCCTGCTGGAGGAACTCCACCCATCTGTTTATAAGCAAACAAAGCCACGGAGCTCCTTTTAAGGTGGCTGTGGCAGAGAAGGAGAAATATAAATGAGATTTTACTCCTTAGCCAGCAGGGTTTTAGGGTGGACGATTATTACAGCATATTCCCTTCTCCACTATCTACAATCACATTATTCTCTCTAACCGCTGCCTGTGAAGCACTCACATCCACTAGGGAAAACAGAGTGCCTGGGAAAGGATATCCAAACACAATCAGGCATTAACCCCCACACATGCTATGGGGAATGGGAAGACAATACACAATATGCAATACGGGACATTTTGGGTCTCTGCCTATTTTCTGAGCGCTGGTTTACGCTGTAGACATAGCGAGACAAACCCGGCTGCCAGACACACCATAGGTGCTCATTGCAGGAGATGGAGGAAGATGTTGCCATGGAAACGTGCAACACATGGGTCGCCATGCAACAGCCAATCGTGACCTCGCCACTCCCGCATTCTCCACCATGTGTGAGTGTTTACTGGTATCTTATCAATTGTGATGACTAAAAGCATGAAAATATGTAAAATATGTGCTGTATTGTGATCGGTGTCAAAACTACTATTATAAATAAAAAATATCTTAATATGGAATTAAGAATTGCACCAAAATGGCCAAATTTGGGAACATAATCTTTCATGTATGTTTATGTTATCTGATGTTAAAGATGATATATTGATGAGAAAGAAGTTTACAGTTTTTGAGATGACAAATCATTATTCGTCATCAAAAATTCAAATGTGAATATGGAAATTATGCTACCAAAAAATGTCTTTTAAACCAGATAACTTTAGTGTCTGAATGAGGCAGTAAATGTGTAGCAATGAATCTTACAGTACTCAAAGACAGATTATCAATCTTACCTTTGTTCTTGTTTTCACTTTTGATTTGACTTTTTGCCGCCTTTTTAGTTTCTTCTTGCTCAAAGCTTTCTTTCCCCTGGAAAATATTGGCACATGTTAGATCTGGGTTTGCAGTGTCAACCATCATTAATCAAATTATTACAAAGGTCTATCTAGATAATAGCAGACAAATGGTAACAGTCTTTTCCACACTGTAGCTTATTCAGGCCAAGAACTGCCCGCTTAAAAAGGAGGAGTTTGTTAAAGGTCTACTCACGCCAATTCACATTCACATTTATTTGTATAGCACTTTTCACAATACATAATTTCAAAACAGCTTTACAGAAAATGCATGTGTCTACATTACAATTTAGAGTGATCTGTTATCAGGTGTCCAAGTAATGCATTTCCGAAATCATGCAGTTAGCTAACAATCTATTAATTTAAAGCAGAAACAATGCGCTCAAAGTAATTATTACAAGTTGTGTGAACATAATGATTAATATGCAAATTTAGCATTTGCTGCATGTTGATTTAGAGTTGACACAGCAAGAACAATAATAACGATAAAGAAGTTTTAAAAATCGTTCTGTAAAAGAATATCATTCCACACCACAACTATTACGATAACGGCACAGAAAAACAATATCGTTGGAGCCACTTTCACAATGATTTTTTTCAGCTGATGAATGATAAAATCATTGACAGCCAATCAGAATCTGTCCTGCTTTAAAGAGCACGAGAATTTAAATCAGCAGATGATAAAACTGCAGTGCACACTTATAATGAACAGAATGTTATCGTGCCTTGGTGTGGAAGCTAATATAGTTATCGTTGTCTTTAGTTAGCGTTCTTGGCATGTGAACGGGCCTAAACACTTAATGCTGTTCAAATATGGATTTATCTGTTACAGTTACAATAAAACTAAATCCATGGAAAACTTTTTTTTATTAAATAACAGTACAGCAGCGTTGGTCCAAAAATGTGTAGTGCGCCTACATTGTAAACAATTTTATTCTCTGATGGACTGTGCAACTTGATAGAAGGAAACTGTGGGGAAGTCAATCACTTTTGAACTGCTGGTTTTTGAAAAATGTTTGGTAGTGTGCAGTATCAGGCATGTGATCAGCAAATGATAAGCGACTCATACAGCGCTTGCAGAGTAGCATTCACTGTGAATCAAAACTGGAAATGAAACTTTACTCTAAATCATGCAGCGTGCCAGAGTATATGAAGACAAGATATTTTTCTTTTAAATGAGCATTTTTATGTTTGTAATATTACTTTTGTTTTATCAGTGACATTTTGAAAATAAAGCATTTTCCAATAACCTTTTCATTGCCATTAAAGTGAAATTACTGAACCTAAACATATGAGCCTGATAAAAATGCTAATTTAAAAGAAAACTGTCAGATGACAGGTTTTTGCATCTGAAGTCTACATATATTTATAATTGCATCCCTATCGTTGCAATATGAAAATGATATCTAGCCATATCACATTGCGATATGACAATGATATCTAAGCCATATCACATTGACACTCTCACAACATTGTCAAAATTCATAAAGTTACCAGGCAACTGGCCAGTAACAGTTTCAATGCTGATTTTTACTCGCATTTGCCGCTTTGAACCCTGGCTAAGGGTGTCCCGCAGAGGGCACCGCGAGCTTGTGCAACGCTGTCAGAAGCACTCCGTGCATAAAATACACATAGGCTATTAGAAAACGTTACATTTTGCAGTTTACTTACCGGTAGTAATTGTTCGAGGCTATTTCATGATACCAGTCATCACACAACAACCAACCCCCTCCAACCAGCCACTTTTGTCTCATATTTACACAGTTCACGTGGGTCATACTTTTAAGGTGGGAAATTAGAGAAATCATATCTCAGTCTGAGTATGAACCAGACAGTCCATCTGAGGCTGACACTACTAACCTATTTGTCAGGTTTTCAGTTTTCAATATACTAGTAAAAAGGTCCAGAGGTCATATATCACAGATATCTTAATAGGTCAGCATATGTAGTGGTGTCATCCCTGTAATGTGCTGTTTTAACATGCATTTTTAATAAGCATGGATTGTAAGAGCAAAAATATACTATTTCAAGGACCCAGTTTACAAAAATGGGTTGCTGCCATGTTAACAAACACCTTTGTTATAAAACAAAAGTTGGTCTTTTTTGCATCTGTTTGAATGTGCTTAAACTCTGTAAAATGACACTGTTTGTCTAACAAGAGAACTTGCAAACAGTCTAACTCTAAATCAGTGGTTATCAACTGGTATGGCCATTAAACCCACATTTACATATGGTCATTAAAGGGTTAGTTCACCCAAAAATGAAAATTATGTCATTAAGGACTCACCCTCATGTCCTTCCAAGCCCGTAAGACCTCCGTTCATCTTCGGAACACAGTTTAAGATATTTTAGATTTAGTCCGAGAGCTTTCTGTCCCTCCATTGAAAATGTATGTACGGTATACTGTCCTTGTCCAGAAAGGAAATAAAGACATCATCAAAGTAGTCCATGTGACATCAGTGGGTTAGTTAGAATGTTTTGAAGCATCGAAAATACATTTTGGTCCAAAAACAACAAAAACTACGACTTTATTCAGCATTGTATTCTCTTCCGGTTCTGTTGTCAAGCCGCGTTCACGAGTCCTTAGACATCTTTGTGAAGATTGTTTTGTTTACAGCGTGCGTCTCCCTCAGACGGTAAACGAAGCTCGGGCGCACCGGATTACACGTCAGCATCGTCTTACGTCACCAGCGTCACTGAACGCGGCTTGACAACAGAACCGGATATACAGCAATACAATGCTGAATAAAGTCGTAGTTTTTGTTATTTTTGGACCAAAATGTATTTTCGATGCTTCAAAACATTGTAACTAACCCACTGATGTCACATGGACTACTTTGATGATGTCTTTATTAGTGATCGACCGATATTGATTTTTATAACCGATACCGATACCGATTATTTGCATGTTTATGTGCCCGATAACCGATATGCAGAACCGATATTTATTTATTGTTATACTTCTGTTTTTGACACAATTATTACAACACAAATGAACTGGACAAACCATTTTATTTATAACAATCACTCCCTCCTTGCATACAAAAAAAATAAAAGTCCATAAAATAAAGTGCACTGTTACAAGTGTCTTTGTTTAAAAATAAAAGCTTTGATGAGGTAAAAAATAAAGCACAAAAATTATTCTAACATATTGGGGGGAAAAAATCTAAATTACCTGTTTTTTTTTTTTTTGCATAGCTATTTTAGTAGTGTAACTTTATTATTGCATTATATAATTTATATCTAAATTATACATATAATTTATAAGCATCAGCAGCAACAATGTTAACAATAGGCAAAATAAATTTTAAAAGTCTAATGTTTTCATATGGAGAAAATAATTGACAGGGGAGTCATATCACCTTTGCAGAAATGTAATTCATTTTAAACAGTTTTAGAAGGTTTATGTGCCGTTTAATAGGTTTAAAGAATGAGGAATAATTCACTGGGTAATATTAATTCACTGAATAACATTAGCTATAACATTGTCAGGAAAGTAACAAACAAAACAGCATATACATCATTTCATTTTCCAACTCGTATGTTATTAAATAATTAATAATATTTTTGTCGGTCTAGATCATGAAATGCTTTCTGACAAAGTGCTGTTTATCTATGCATTTACACAGAACTATAACTTAGGCTACTCAACCGCGATCGCCCGTGCAGATAATAAATAATTAATTTCCACAAAGCGGTATATTTAGATGTGAATTAGCGAAATAATTGCTATGTAGTAAATGATCATATAGCCTAATCTAGGGTGTTTAAACAAGATAATCTTGTCAAAAGTTTCATTCAGTGGCCGTGCTTTAACATTCCTGATCATCAACCCAGTGAGTGCTCAGCAATATGAACGAACTTTTTTTCCGAGACTAATGGTGAGCAAATACAACAGATAGAGAATTAAATTCAGCGCTTTTATTTTCAACATGCACTCATTCATGTCTGTTTTATTTAATTCATGTAAAGTTACGTCTTTATTGGGGCAGGACATGACGTATTACGCTACGTGACTCCATGAGTTCGTCTGAATTTTTTAGAACCAAGCTGCATAAATAAACTATATCAGGCATTTATGTCTCAAATCTCATTTCTGCATGTCTGTTATGTTAAATAAAGTTGAATAATTAAAGCAAAGCAAGTAGAACATATACTTACCTGTGCACAGTTGTTGTTGACTGATCTCCTCAGACGCGGGCTGCAATGGCGGAATTCTCAAAACGGCCACAAGATGGCGCCATTAATCGGCGAATCCGATATTACAAAACCGATACCCGATTATGGGAAAATGCTTAAATATCGGGAAAAATATCGGTAAACCGATACATCGGTCGATCACTAGTCTTTATTTCCTTTCTGGACAAGGACAGTATACCGTACATACATACATTTTCAATGGAGGGACAGAAAGCTCTCGGACTAAATCTAAAATATCTTAAACTGTGTTCCGAAGATGAACGGAGGTCTTACGGGCTTGGGACGACATGAGGGTGAGTCATTAATGACATAATTTTAATTTTTGGGTGAACTAACCCTTTAAGCTTAGACCCAAATTTTAGGCATTTGAATAAAACAACGTAACTACGACGTTACATGCTCATAATTTAATTTTCTCTTTATTAGTTAACTTCACTATAAAGAGCAAATGAAATAAGCATGTACAAAAAGAAATTCTGTAGCGAATTTTTTCAAGTAACGAAAATAATATTAGAATAATGACACTGACATGTAGCCTAAAAACATCTCATCTGACAGCAGATACTGAATTAGGACAAAGCATTTTTTTTCTTTACTTAAACTGCATCTGACAGAAGAGTCAACAGCTTTCACACACGTCAAAATAAAAGTCTTGCATCAGAAAAACATAGAATTATGATTTTTGTTTTTATTTCTTGGACTACAAACCAACAGTTGAGAAACACTGGTCTAGAGGCAAACCCCACACAAGGAACAAACTTCTCTTGCAGCGACGGCAACAGCGGGCGATCATAGTTTCATTTTCAACAAGAGAGCCATCTGAATCTGCTATTATGTACAACCTTATGTAGGAATTGTGTTGAAGTGCTAGAGCTCATGTATGGCAGTAAACAATGGGAAAACAAAACAGTAGCTGATTATATGCAGTGAAAAGTGAAAGCACAGAGGCTGCTTGTGATGAAGAGCCTGAAGGTTGGGAGGGGCGTTCAAGGGTTCAGTGCAATTTGCATTAACGCTGGTGACGTCATAAGTGGATGGTGCAAGTGTACACCACTAAACCACTTGTAAAAGGACTATTAAACCTCAAAGAAAATTTTGCATAGAGGCAGTAACAATATTCATATTCCTTTTTCCTTAACTCACATATCTTTTTTTATTGACCTCTGGTCATTCAGCACTTATTACTTTGACTCGGGTTGTATGTGTGAATTTAATTTTGAACCTTTTGTTGTAAACTTTATATAGGAAAGCAATTTAGTAAATCTAAAAAAAACAATTAAGTTTGATTTATTGAATATCTTCTCAAATAAGCAACTAAAATAAATCAAAATCTACTGTTTTATTGGCTAATGAGTTCAATATAATAGTAGAGTAGGAATGTGAAGGTTTTATGGTAACTGCAAAAAGGAATGTCATTTTTACTTTGTCATCTATTTAGATTTTTTGCTGACTGTGAAACTGCGTATTAAGTATGGACAAAGTAAACGTATAAATATGAGCAGAAACAATAATGATTTGTAGAGGAAGATCAATAATAAGAGACTGCTCTGAGGTAAAGCACGTCAGAGAGTGTGTGTGTGCGCGCGCGCTTCTCTCTACAGCAGGGTGACGTCAGGCAAAACAGAACCCAGCCCTTCGCATAAATGAGACACGGCTGCAGCTCTGAATACATGCGAGATATTTAATGTCGTTCAATAAGCCACATTTTGAAAATGAAGTGGCTGGTTATTAACAATAATAACCTTAAACTTGCAATTCAGTGAAGAAGGATAATATATAAAACCTGAACTGGGACTATAAGACATTTCACAAGCCTGACAACACTTCACTAGTCAAAATCTTGTCGCCTTAAATGTACACAAATGTTGAGGTGAAAGGTTTAATTCTTCCTTCTTTGCATAACATACCATAGTTTATGCGTTGTATTTGAAGCCAGTAAAATTATAGCATAACGTTACATATCAAACTCATTCAGCTATGTCCTATTAGCACAACTAACGTTATATTAGTCTGGTTGTGCAAGAGATACCAAAACGGCATTGTTAGCCGTGACAGCACAGAGGTGACGTTTTTAAAAAGTGCACAAATCAAAACCATCACAAAATGAGCTTTTCCGTTGACATGAACGAGATTAATCGAGTGTTTTAGCTGCGCTCGCTAATGTGTTGTCGCTAAGGAAGTTAGCCGCATGCTAACTGCTAATACTGCTGCTGCACTACTGTTTGGGCTCAAATGAGCTCATGTTTAACCCACTGGGTTTTGTTTACAAACACATCCACCCGCACGGCACCACGGCCCATTTCTCAACCTGAACCGAACATGTAAATCAGACCCACCTGCCGAGGTTTAGCCCCTGCTCTTTGTCGTTGATCGCGGTGGTGTATATCCTCCGGTAGCGCTCCGCCAGTGCTCGCCCTGAGAGAAGAAGCTGGTAGCGGCTCCGACAATCCGAGCGGGCCCCCACAACGGGACAGGAGCCCATCCCTGATCCGATCGATGCGAAATCGTGTCCAGCTCCCGGAATGACCCTGACACCCAGCCCCATGGAGTGGGATGCGGAGGACACAATCCCGCTGCCACCGGCACCCGCTGCCGCCGCAGCAGCACACATCATCGTTTAGGGGAACAACGCATATATTAGATTACAAAGTCAATCAACAGAGCTCAAATTCCCGAGCACACCCCATATATCCGCTCCACAAACCCGCAAAAACGCCCGGCGAATTAACGTTACATCCGAGTATCTCCAATTAAAACGACGTTGACGGTTAGCCGCTCTGCTGCGACTGCGAAATACGCTTCAAAAACCAACCGTTATTTCCTCGATTGCAGGCGGTCCGACCGCGTTCAACCGCCCGAAGAGACACGAGTCAAACGCGCGAGCTGACGTCCGTGCTTTACGTTTATTCCTGCTGTTTTTCTTGACCCCGTAAAGACAGCAGCCCTAGTAGCGCTGCCATCTTAGCTTCATCATCCTTCCCTGTTCATGTCGCTGCTGACTGACTGTCAAGCATGCTGGGATACATTCCCATCCATAGCACACACAGCGGCTGCGGCTCAAAGCGCAGAGTGCTTTCTTGCTAGGGGACTCGGTAGGTTTTGAAACGCGACCACACTGTAGTAATGGAGCGGGCGAGTTCAATAACGCAGCTTTTAGATGCTTTAACGGTCGTTTCTCTCTCGCAGAAGAATTTGAATTTACTGCACGATTATAAAAACACACCCAGGGCGATTATTTCCTTAGGGGGCATGGTGAATCGTACATTAAATTTGTATGGTTATTATTTCCTGACAATACCATGAATTTCTGGCTGTCTGGTAATCCTATTTTATAAGATGTTTTATTACTAGTTATTGTATTTACAAATTGTTCTGGAATACTTACTTCTGATTGGTCAATATAGCATCATTTTTGTAATAAGTGTAGGCTATATTGTGCAATTAATTAATGTATGCTGCATTGTATATTTAATTGTTTGTCCAAAGGACTCATTCTTTTCTCACATAATAAAAAAATCTCACTAGGCCTGTCATGTTTATTTGGTGTATTTGGTCTGTAGTCATGCTTACAGGTTTACCCAACATTTTAAATTCTGTCATAATTTTGTCACCCTCATGTCAAGTTTTCCCTATTTTAATCATTGGTCATCAAAACTGTTTGGTTTCCAAAGTTGTTTGGATATCAACATTCTTCAAAATATTGTATTTTATGTTCAGCAGAGGAAAGAAAGTCATACAGATTTGGAATGGCATGAGGGCGAGTAAATTATGACAGAATTTTCATTTTTGGGTGAACTATCGGGGTAATGCAGCGCACAATGCACAATGTCAGCTTGTAACACAAAAATAAGCCCCATCATGTTAAATAATTTGCTCACACCAAAACATTAGTTTTGTTGTCAGAATGTGTTTCCGTGGATTATGTTACCTGCTGTTTCTAGGATTACCACTGAAGCACTCTTACCGGTGACTTGTTATTAAGGATGTAACCTTGGAGAGTGAATTGAAAATCATAACAACAACCACACAAAAAAAGATAACCCACAAATCTGAATATTGGGACTCGGAGTATGTGTTCCCATTGTGGAAATGAAGTGCACTTGGTTTTTATTGAATATGCAATTGTCCTTCAAATCCTCAAACAAAGTATGTTTTTTAAAAACCATACCAGCAGATACTAATATTAATGAAATAAAAAGCCACCTAAGTGTACAAGAGAGTATACACTTTCATGAATGTTTCTTAACACACTTAAATGCGCTTTGTAATAATGTGCTAGATGTACCTATTTACTGTACTTTGATGTGCTGACTAACATACTAATGCATAAAATACTTGATTCTAAAATTTTAACTGATATTACATTTAAACATTACATTTGTGACGTAGAGAACAACCGATTTCAAACCGCATTTTTGAGACTGTCTTTGATTCACTGCAGATTTAAGGAGAAAATACTCAGCAATTGTGTTGACTTATGAATTTGCACATGGTTTGTCTTAAAGCATATTAAAAACACTACATAGACATATAAACAACATCAAAAGCTTGATTTTCACCACAGGGGGACTTTAATATATTTTAATGTAAACTGCAATTGCATACATCACATAACATATTTTAGTTTACATAAATAGGCGTGTCTTGTCAGTAACCATAATTTCAAAGACATAAATAATTAAATTACATATAAATATGTACTTAAGTGGCTCAAAAAACCACTCTACAGTGCAGCTAATTGCACTTAATATAAATGGAAAGTTTAATTGCAATTAGCTCTTTCCCTGACAGCTTTTAAATAAAAAACAATTACATAAAGTTGCCAGCCACCGCCAGAAAATTTTGATATTTTTATGAAAAAATGTAATGGCCCCCAGATTATTTTGTTGTTTGAATATCAGAACATGCAATATATCAAAAGAAAGAACAGAGCCTCTGCTTTAAAAACAAAAACAAAAAAAACGTTTTATTCTAGCTTCATGCATTCTTCATCAACAATTGAATGTGGGTAAGTTTCACAAAAAAAAAAGCAATATATTGAACAAAAATCTGCAAGACTACATATTTATTTAAATTAACATACAAAATACCTCATCTTACATATAACAATACACAAATATAACAAATAATACAAGATACGTGGGGGAAAAAATGTTTCAAAATACATTTAAAATTGCCATTCGCTGAAGTACTGCTAAATATTTATTTTCTGAATGTAAAGAATTTTTTTACAATTTCTTAGAAATATTTATTTTTATCTCACCTCTTCCCTTCCCCTGTTCAATAGGAATTGAAATAAGAAACTGCAAACAAAACTTTCTCAATAATAGCTCATGAAATCACTAATGATAGACTATATAGCTGGCTGCGGACTAGTGACTTCATTACTGTCGATATGTGTAATGATGACTGGTGAAAAATATCCTGCTATAGAGACTCTTTTCCGCAGTGTTGGCAATTTGCATCACATATGGAAGATAATGCAAGATAATGCAAATAAACTGTATATAAACCTAACAAATCAAATAAGAGTCAAGTTACTACTGTGTGAACAGGTGATGCCTGGATCAGCCACTTCATATTTGAATGCAGAAAATCCACTAACCCAATGCTAGATGGAGCTGTTCTCTCTGGGATCTCCAGTTTGTGTGCATTCAAATTTAATGTTGCTTAAAGTTGATACAGGAAATCAGCTGCCTATAAAGAGGCTGACTGACACTCTGACTGACAAATAGCGTTTTGTATTTATATGTATTTATTTAAATACATGTCTTTGAAATACTGTCCATCCCTGACCCACTTCATTAGAGAAAGTACGATTTTCCACATATTCTCATTGTAACCCTAAGACTTTTCTCCTTGATATAAATTATGTACATCCGAATGTATGAAACAAAATAGAGACAGGACATGGATGTCCATAAAATAGGAAGAGCGAGAAAAAGATAATGTGAGAGGAACTGCACATGATGTAATAAGGTCAATGAATGTCCTCTGACTGGGGACATAACCCGAATACTGAGAGATGACATTTCCCTCCTCCCTTCACTGTGTCACACAGACAGACACTGGTTAGAGTTGTGTCAGCAGCACTGAAGTCATTTTGATCAACCTTATTCAGTAATGGTAGAGGTGAGACTGACAGAACATCTTCACCTGTGCAGGGAGTTTACTTCTGCCCAGTCAAAATGAATTCACTTTATTTTGTGGACAATGGTTGGACAAAAGATTTTCATCAAATGATATTTTAGATGAAAATTTACTTCTAACAACACAATATGCATTAAAATCTTAAAATTAAATATTTTTCTTAATGCAGAGAGCAGAAAAAGAATGTATACATTTATTGAATGTATAGAAATTCTTAAAATGTCACCACCGTAAATTATTGAATACAAATTTGACATGAACTGGAGAATTTTAATCAAAACCATTTTCTTTAATTTATTGCCCCATCTAGTGGTGAGAAACGTCAGTGTTAAGTTGAAAGAATGTGTATCTATCTATCTATCTATCTATCTATCTATCTATCTATCTATCTATCTATCTATCTATCTATCTATCTATCTATCTATCTATCTATCTATCTATCTATCTATCTATCTATCTATCTATCTATCTATCTAGTTTTGTGAAAGCCACATACTTAAAATAGCGACATTTTCAGCAGTGCATTATCATTTTAGGTTAAGAAAAACTAACTGAACATGTACGTGCTTTTCAATCCACTTCGTTTTTTGAGGCAAGTCACAAATTTAATTTGACTACATATTTAGTTTGTGACTGTACTGACATTAGCATTGCTGAATGAAGGATAAACCATTAAACCATAACCAAACCAACAACAGAAACTAATTTAATTTGCCAACCTAAGTGAACAATAAACATTAAATGGTCTTTGTCATTTTAACTTTTAATCTCAATTCAGTCCTATGGAAATGCTGCTAGAAAAATCCACCCATCCAGTTTTAGGTAATGCAACAAAAATGATACATGTACACAGTAAGAATGCAAACTGCAATTCTAAAGAACTATTTCCTGATTTAACCAAATGTTTGCTGGTGTAAATTAATGTATTTGGGGTGATTCAGTGATGTTAAATACTATTTTTGACGTGAATAAAACTAGTTAATTTAGTTTTTTTTTAATTGACATATTTGAGTGGAGTGAACACAATGGAATTAAGTTGCAATTGTGTTGTTTTAGCTCATTTTAATAAAGTAAATAAAGCAAGCAGCAAGCTTTTTTCCTTTCCTTCCTTTTTCCCTTTTATCTTGTTTTAAACCAAACACAATATTTCCTTAAATAAATACAATCATAGTATTAGCACTCCTCCAAATCTCGTATGTGCAAATATGAGTATTTTCATAGCCTAAAAATGTTTTGGTGTAACATAAGAAGCAGTTTTTTGTGTCATCAAGTTTTTGTATTGTCTTTTGCATATTACACACGTTAAAACTATTATGGGTGTGTGATGAATAGTGTCACACCCAACAGACTTCATATTTGCTGTCAGACATACTGTAGCTAAGGCTACTTTACCAAAGAGAGCTTCACCCACCCACAACAAAGAATAAACCTAACAAGCCACATGCTTCAGCAACAACACAACTATTAATTTAGAACCAGCCAATCAGGCCCAGATACATTATAGCCTATGTTCACTCATAAAAAAATAAAGGCTCCAAAATGGGGGGCTTGCAAAAAAGCAACAGAAGAACCATTTTTGGTTCCCCAAAATAACTTTTCAGTGAAGATTTTTCTTAGTGTGAAGAAATGTTAATAATCTGAAAAACCTCTGTACACTATATATAACCTTGTGCAATGGAAAGGTTCCATTTATGTTAAAAGCTTAAAAGGGATATATGTAAAATTCAGAAACCATTGTTATTAGCGACACCGGTGGCCGTTAAGTGAAATGCAGCCAGCAACTTATTGCTCGTGCTCGTGGCCTCGTGCACACACACTCCATTAGTGAGTGACGCGATAGCCTCGGTCAGCGCCCAAAATCATTCATATTATCAACATATCTACAAGAAACTACACGTGATTCAAGGCCCTGATATACTCACGATGAAGTTCTTGTTCATTCTTCGATTAGAAGTAAAAAGAAGTTGGAAATTCCTTTGCAGTGATGTAGTAGCCTACTGTACTGTCTGTTGTTTATATCGAACATCCTGATTCCTGACGCCGTAAATATTTGACGCCAGCTTGAGAAAACAGTTAAGAAAGCATCTGATCATAACTATGAGAATATGTTTGCTCAAGCTCTGCAGTTCACCGGCATCATGTTTACAGATGAGGTAATTAAAATGACACTATTTGAGACTATAATTATTCTATTTTCTTTGCATGACACATAAGTATAACAGTAGCCTACAGAATGTCTATTTCGGCATTATCCTTAAAATTGTGTAAAGCATTAATTTCCTGTGTGATTGAACAGAAGAGAGGCTCTTGAGAGTGAACTTCATTTCGATTTTCACGGCAAAAACGTCCCGAGTCATTACATGAAAATTCTTACATTTAGAGTCCCTAAAGGTTCTTCATGTTGGATTACACTGCAAAAAAAAAAACGAAAAAAAAAAAGTTTCTTACTTAGTATTTTTGTTTTGTTTCCAATCCAAATATCTAACAATTCTTATGTCAAGAAGCATTTAGGCCTACTATAAGAAATTATATCTTGTTTTCTGAAAAAAACTAAAAAAACAAATTTAAAAAAGGTTATTTTTCTTACCCCATTGGCAGATAGTAATTGTGCTTGTTTTAAGCAAAAACACGCAATTTATGATATAATTTCGTCTTATGTCATTTAACTTCTCTAGTAAATGCTTCTTGATTTAAGAATTTTTTAGATAGTTGGACTGGAAACAAGACAACAATACTAAGTAAGAAAAGCATTTTTTTTTTTTTGCAGTGAATAAAGAACCTTTATTTTTAAGACTAGGCAAACACTACACAAAACCTTTACAACATAACTCTGACTTCCACAGCTGTTAAAAGGTTTTGACACAACCTTTTAAGAGGGAATAATAAATAATAATGATTTTGCACACCTGCTAACAATTAAGGCTCTGAATAGTTTTATAAAGTTACAGTTCGGAACTACAATAATTGCTGGCAAAATATGTAACTAAATAAACATTTAGAATGACAGACTTTTGAACTTTTAAACCCTAAGAACAACACCACAAACATTTTTTTTCTCTCTGTCTTATCTTGACATTGAAGGTTGTAATGGCGCCTTTCACATAGTTTCTTAAGACAGACAATTGGCTATGTCCCAAAGACATTCATTACTTAGTGCCTTTTCATCATTCCCAGCTGACCTCATAAAACACACCCCTACTGTAAACTGCGTTGACATTGCTGTGCTGACAGTTCAGGTTCAGTTGCTCTCGTATGAAGCCACACCTTTCACTGGTCCTTCCCTACCCATGTCAAATATGTAAGAGGGGAAGAGCAGTAAACGGTATATTATTCTCATCAGAACTCTCACATCCTACGCACCTGAAATACCAAGGTATGATTGTACACACTATAGGAATCTCTTGATTCTGTTCTAGTTATATATGTCAATCATTTTCATGGTTAATATTTGTATACTTTTTGTTTCTAAAATCAAAGGGGTTTTATGTTAACAGTGTGAGTGGCGTAGGTTTGATTTTGACATTGGTGGGGACGGGGACATCAATATATAAATATATTTTAAGTTTTGATCGAAATTATTGCTAGGGATATATCAGTGTCACTGGATATTGGTAGGGACACGTCCCTAGCGTCCCTACTAAATTCTACGCCCCTGGATCTTACTAAAATATCTTAATTCAATTGGATTCTCTTGTCATATGGATGTATGTACAGAATGTGAACAGATAATTAAATGTTGTGTTGAGTATTTCGCAGGGCACTTTACTAAAACAGTGTTCAATGTCAAGGTGGATTTGAAGACCATGACATTGTCTCAGATTATTGCTTTTTCAAAATAAAACTAGAATAGAGGTTTTTGTCATAAAAGAGGGACAGTGAGTTTCTGCTCAAATTAGAATTCAAATCTACACAGAATGTTAGTAGTTCCTGGACAAATATTTTATTTAAACAAAAATGCAGTAAAAACAGCAATATTGCCAAATATTATTACAAATTAAAAGAACTGTTTTCTATTTAAAGATATCTTAAAATGTCATTTATTTCTGTAATGGCAAAGCTGAATTCTCAGAATCATTTCCATAGTATTCATTTATATATAGTTTAATCTTACCACGAATGTTTGAATGGTTAAAATGTTAAGCAGCAAAAATTGTTTTCAACATTGATAATAATAATATTAAGAAAAGTTCACTGAGCAGCAAATGCAGACTGATTTATTCAGTTATTCAGTATGTGACACTGAAGACTGGAGTAATGATGCTGAAAATTCAGCTTTGCATCACAGGGAGAAATTACATTTAAAGATATATTTAAATTAGGGCTGTGCAAAGATTAATTGCGATTAATTGTGTTTACATAATATATTTGTGTGTGTTGTGTATAAATATTTTGTATATATAAATACACGCACATGCATGTATATATTTAAGAAAATGTGTTATTCATATATAAAATATTTATATTTATATATAATATAGATTATGTATTTATATTAGGGCTGTCAAATGATTAATCACGATTAATCACATCCAAAATAAAAGTTTTTTTACATAATATATGTGGGTGCACTGTGTATAATTATTTTGTATATATATAAATACACACACATGCATGTATATTTAAGAAAAAAATATTATTTATATATAAAATATTTATATTTATATATAATATAAATTATATATAAATCTATATACAGTATATACATGAAAATATTTCTTAAATATATACAAGCATGTGTGTATTTATATATATAAAATAATTATACACAGTGCACCCACATATATTATGTAAAAAAAACTTTTATTTTGGATGTGATTAATCACGATTAATCATTTGACAGCCCTAATTTATATTATATACAGTATTTACGTGCAAATAGTTCTTAAATATATACATGCATGCATATGTATTTATATATACAAAATAATTATACACAGCACACACACATATATTATGTAAACACAAACTTTTATTTTGGATGCCTTTAATCGCAATTAATCTTTGCACAGCCCTAATTTAAATATTAAACATTTAAATTTCACAATATCACAGTTTTTACTGTTTTTTTGCTTGATGTGTTTAATGTTTTGGTTGTTTTGTTTTGGTCAACTTTGGTTGACAGGTCTGTGTGTATATATATACAGAATATTATTTTTTTGAAAAATATTATGCATGCATGTATGACTAACTTTTAGAGACTACACTATATATATATATATATATATATATATATAGTGTAGTCTCTAAAAGGTATCCATACATAAGATGCATGCAATATATATATATATATATATATATATATATATATAGTAGGCTAGTTTCTAAAAGTTAGTCAGACATGCATGCATAATATTTTTCAACAAAAATAAATAAATTATATATATATATATATATATATATACATATATAAATATATATATACATATATAAAGAATTGGTAAAGAGCTGTTTAAAATAGTTTTGTAGCATGTCCATGAGTAAAAAATATTTAACGTCAGCTACCCAAATATGAAGAAAATATAAAAATATTTTTCACTCCCCCCCCACCCCCTACTTTTTACAATTATAACCTTTGCTACATAAAATCCATCGAAACCTCTCAGCTGATGTTGTTAATTGCAATACATCTGACGTTTCTTTTCAAAACATGAGAAGTTGCTATGGATTCAGTGGCAGGTGTTTGAAGGGTGTGTCTCTACAGGGATCAGGACAGACTAGTTTTGGGTGTTTCCAGGGAGGTATGAAGTGAAAGGACAATGCTACATCAACACTAGGAATGGAATGTACTAACCAGAATTGTGAAATTATGCATTTTATGAACATGATGCTGCACTGACACACTCATTATGTCTTTTCTGGTCGCACCATCTTGTGGATAGTAGCCTATTAGTATGTATGATATATGCAGAAGTGACTACACTGTATCCACTGCAAACGTAATAATATGTTTCAATTCCATCTTACAGCGTAAACCATGTCTTTCACTGGAAAACCATACAGTAAGGTCCAAACAGGTGAGAATATGCATTAAAATGACATCTTAATTCGATAATCCACTTTAGACATACTAACTATAAGTAACTTTGCAACTAAAGTTACTTGTCAACTAGCAGTCATTAGAGTATTAGTAGACTGTCTGCTTAATATCTGCTAACACTTTATTTTGATGCTCCCCAACAGACATTCAACTGACTATGTCTGTAACTTTGCAACTACATGTCAGCTTATTCTACTAACCCGAACCCTAAAACCAACAGTATACTACACTCTACTAATACTCAAATGAGAGTTAGTTGACATGTAGTTGCAAAGTTACTTATAGTTAGTAGAATGTCAAAAGTGGACCATCGAATTAAAGTGTAACCCATTGTTCTTAAAGGAACACGCCATGTTTTTGTGACTTTAGCTTATTCACCGTATCCCCCAGAGTTAGATAAGACCATATATACCCTTCTCATTTCCGTGCGTCCCGTAACTCTGCCTGACGCAACCGCCGCTAGTCTAGCTTAGCACAAATACTGGAGGTAAACGGCTCCATCTAGCATACTGCTCCCAATAAGTGACAAAATAACGCCAACATTTATAGTCACAATGTGTACAAATAACAAGGTCACATGAGACACAGCCATCTTCTAACCGTATACATACTGGCAACTATATTCTCAGAAGGCGAAGCACTGCTACTTGGGCGGCGTGATTAGCGCAACACCTAAAAAGCACCATTGTTACTTCTGTCAACAAAACCAACGTGACTAGCTAGCTCAAATCTAGCTAGCTCCGCCCAAGTAGCAGTGCTTCGCCTTCTGAGAATATAGTTGCCAATATGTATACGGTTAGAAGATGGCTGTGTCTCATGTGACCTTGTTATTTGTACACATTGTGACTATACAAATCACAACATGTAAATAGGAAAATGTTGGCGTTATTTTGACACTTATTGGGAGCAGTATGCTAGCTGGAGCCATTTACTTCCTGTCTTTGTGCTAAGCTAGGCTATGGGTGGGTGCGTCAGACAGAGTTACAGCACGCACCGAGATGAGAAGGGTATGTATGGACTTATCTAACTCTGGGGGATGCGGTGAATAAGCAAGCTAAAGTCCCAAAAAGTCGGAGTGTTCCTTTAATATATCATACGTACAGCCATAATCAAGTCATTTTATTTGCCTAATACTTTTTGTTGAAAACAGGTACGACTTCAAGTACTGCTAAAGCAGTAGAGGACAGCAAAAAGAAAGCATCCCTGCTGAAGGACAATAGCTGGATCAGGGCAAATGTGAACGAGGACAAACAAGTCGAGTGAGTTTTCAACACATTCATCAATGGACCGCAAACTAGATAGATAAAACTTGTTTAACACCTCTCCTCTGTAATATGGATGTAAATCTTTCAGATGCTTTTTGTCAATGGGATTTATGTGTGTCTGACAGACTAAACATCTGACGAGATGAATTTGTGTTTCCCATTTCCCAACAGAAACGACCCGAACTTTGGCAAAACTGTTCTGAGCCGTTACAAGTCCAACGAAAACCTTGTCAGGTAGTTAATCTCGTCTTAACACTTTTGTGTGTATGTCCCACATGTTGACATAAAAAAAATGAATATGAGATCCTTTTTTTTTTTTTTCACAAAGCCCTCAAGATAAAACTAGCAAAACCGAGAGCAAAACCACCACCGTCACCACTTCACCAGGTACCTCTGTCCAAGCTCTCTCTAAAAGGTAATGCACTGCTGAAGATGCACGTATCACTTTCATACAGTACATTAAACACATTACCAAGTTTACAAATGTGCATTAGAATTACACAGTGCATAACAATACTCACTCTTATGGAAACCCATTAGCGACACATAAGAAAAAAACAATCATGCTTTGGTAAATCATCATTTTGATATAAAAAGTTATATAATTATGAGCTAAAAAGTCAAAATGATGAGATACTAAGTAGAAATTATGAAAAAATTCATATGACTTAAGTTGAAATCTTGACATAAATGTAGAAGAAATGGGCTTCCATGATATGGTGCTTTGTAAAAAGTTTATGTGATAAAATTAGATCAAAGAGTCTTATGTGATTGTTTTCATTGTGCAGGTTTGGTGGCAGCCAGGACAAGCTGAATGAAACCAGGTAAAATATACACATAATTCACAACTTTAAACTGTTAATGTTTAAATCTGTCTCTGTACTTAATTTAGAAAAATAATGAAGTGGAAAGTACAACACAACAATACGTACTACAGTACGATAATGCTTAATCTGTTGAAGAACATGGACTTACATTTACAATATGATTAGTCACCCATGTTTGCTGTATTTGAAACATGTCTGTAAGAGTGAATTTAAAGCCAAAAATGCTGGGAATTTAAAACATTTTAAGAGCTCAATCATCTTTCCAACCCAACCCTACAGAACCACAGGAACTAAAACAACTGTGAGAACACAGCCAAGGACAAGGTAAAGCCTTTGGTTAAATGACTGATTGAATGAATCAAGACTAGCTTCTTACAAAACTGATTTTTGCTTCATACAAAACTGATGATTGCTCTTTCAGCACTTCTACAACAATAATCAATGGTTCAAAGATTACCGAGACAACCGTCTCCACTACAAAGTAAGATACTAAGAGGATATCATAATGGCAGATCAGTCATAACTATTTCACACTATATTCATCTTTACTTGTATGTAATGAATGACAAGGTCAGCTTTAACTATTCTAAACTGTGTTGTCTTCTTATCCTCAGGCAGGATGTGGTGAAATCATTTACCAAGTCTGAAACAATCACTGATAAGGGCCTGGCAGCTTTAAAGACCAAGACTTCTGGGTAAATCAGATCAGGCTGATTTTTTTTTTATATAACAAAATATTAAAGCAACTTTGATATTCAAATGAATGCTTTTCATACAAATAAAAAAAAAACATTTGGTCCCACTTTATATTAAGTGGCTTTACGTACTATGTACTTACATTGAAATGAATAATTTAATGAAATTCATATCCAATTGTGCCTTAAGTGTGCAAAAGTATCCTAATACTTTTCATTATGTCTCACTGCACATGTTATATGTTCCTAAAGTGACTACAAGACTGAGGTCATTACTGTGAAGTCATCAAAGGACACTGTTGATGGGTGAGTGACATAGATTATATAGGAAACACAATCATATAATTAAATTAAATAATTAAATCTATAATACTTTTTTTTTTAAACTAGACCCCCTTCACCTCTCAAGACCACCACTAGGTACAGTAACAGCATTGCTTATTGCTGACTAAACTGAACAAATGTGGCTACTTTCTTAACCTCTTATTAACTTCAATTCTAGCATCAAAACCTACACCAAGGAGGATGTTTCACCAACTAAAACAACATCATCTTCTGTCCGATCCACAAAGAGGTGAGATCCTGAAAGATAATTCCAAGTAAACGCTTGTAAATCCTTTTCATTCACTGTAAGACAAAGAACATCACTGAATGCTTTTCTACAGCACTGAGGATCAACTGTTTGACACTCTCATACCAACGCCGATCAAGTCATCCTACACAAAACCTGATAGCAGGTATGTGGCGTTTGCATATTTATGAACTAAACAACTTAAACAACATCCTATTCATTTAATTTTAATCAGAATATCAACCTCATCATGCCACAAGATTCTGTAGTCCAACAAGTGATACTAAAAGATCTAGTGTTTATTGCAGAAAATAATACACTTGTTATGTGTCTTTAAAGTGACTACAAGACTGAGGTGGTTACGGTGAAGTCATCAAAGGACATCACTGATGTGTGAGTGTCATAGATCAGGGCTTCTACAATGAAGGGTCACGACCCACAAATGGTGGACAGTGGGGGAAAACGTGCTAAATACAATTAGTCAAATGCAACCTTCAACTTTCAGCCTTGTGAAAAATAAGCGTGCTTAATTGTATTCAATGTGCACTTACTTTAATATTTTAAAGTATAGTAAGTACTTAGAATCTTAAAAGTATATTTAAAAAAACTGTGCTTGAAGATAATATAATATTAATGAAATAAAAAGCCACTCATTCGAAGAGAGTAGCTATACTTTTAACACACTTAATTAAACCTTTAAAAAGTGCACTTTGTAATAGAGTCCAATTAAAAGTTTTACTTTAAAATACATTTTAAATCATGATTTAATAATCTTTTGTCATTCTTTAAAACTTCAACATCATTGTTTCAAACATGAAATTACAAATTTAAAGACATGGCATACAAATTTCATTAGAAATGACATTAAAGTATATTTTAGTTTACCAAATACTTTTCAGTACATTCGGCAGTACACTTTAACCATATTTCAAAGACTGTAGAAATAATTATGAAATTACATATAAAGATGTACTGAAGTCGTACGTAAATGGGTCAAAAAACGACTCTAAAGTTCAGCTAATAGCATCGAATATAATTTTAAATTAGAATACATTTTTATTTATTATATATTTCAGTTAACATGCATTTAAGTGTCTGAAAACATTACGTTCAGTTCACTCTCAAGTATATTCTTTTAACCCCATAAGTTGCACAGGCCCGCCGGCCCGCCATAGCCATTACATATAAAAAACAGTAATATCCTATACTAAACCTAAACTAATATTGACAAGCTATATATCATTTGATTTTCAAAATAAATGACAGAAGAGCCGTAATCTCAATTTGCAGCAAGGCGTGTTAAGACCTTTATTTTGAAATAGTGATGAACATGAAAATCATGAAAGATTGGTAGAAACCTCAGATTGTTTTCATGCCAATAGTTCAAAAGATAACATCCATTAAATTTTTTTAGAAAAAAAGGTCTGAAAATGTTTTAAATATAAAGAAAAAAATTATAGATTCACCATTTGTGATGTGGCAGCCAGCGAGCTATAATAACACACATGCATGTTATTTTTATGTGATTATTGAGGTTGAATTCATATCAAAATATGCCAAACTTACCTTACTACTTCTGAATATGATGCCTACTTCATAAATTGTGGAAATAATGGTTCAGATCACTCAAAACACATATGGAAATGGAGCGTCCTTATATGGGCAGTAATGGAGTCTGGTTGTCATCTAGTGAACAAGTTTGGTACTGCGCCCAAACAAAATCTTACTGAAAGCTCATGTTTTGAGATATCAACCTAAAATTCGAAACACAACTTGTTCAGAGTTTTGGCTTTGATTTTCTTGCAGTTTTAGAGTCCACCAGGTTTAAAAAAAATATATATATTATATAAAATATGAATAATTAAATTTTTACATTTTCATAAACTCAAACTTCTATAACTTTTTTTCTGTTTCAATTTCTTAATTTATTTCACTTCTAAAATCTGCCAAATGTCTTCTTTAAAACAAGACCAATCTTACATATTTATTCCAAAGCATTCTTGAATTACAACCATTTAAGTTCGGATTGTGCATTTTCATGTTTATTCAAAAAAAGGGGGCGCGACACTTAAGAGGTTAAGTATTATTTATGTAATCAGTAATCTTCTTTTCTTCGCAAGGGCAAACATAAATAAAATTACAAAAACTTCTTCCATATATTGTTATCTACATTTAGAAACCAAAATGGTAAAATGTTTTAGCTTATGTAATGTTAATAACTTTTGATATTCTTGTGCCTATACAGTTCATATTAATAATAATGAATTTCAGTGTTTGATTTTAAAGGGATAGTTCACCCAAAAATGAGAATTCTGTCAGTAATTACTCACCCTCATCATGTTGTTCCAACCCCGTAAGACTTTCGTTCATCTTCGGAACACAAATTAAGATATTTTTTATAAAATCTGAGAGCTGGATCACTCCTCCATAGGCTTTTATGTAATTGAAACTTGCCGGCCTAGAAAGTTAGTAAAGACAATGTTTAAAATAGCCCAAGTGACTACAGTGGCTCAACTTTAAGTTAATCAAGCGTCGAGAATACTTTTTTGTGCGCAAAAAAACGAAATTAACGACTTTATTCAACTATTTATTTTTTTTCTGTGTGGGCCTCTGAGTGAGTTCATGTAGTGTAACAGCGCAGCGCTTCTGAGTTGTACGTCAGAATGTAAGCCGAAGCCTATGGAGGAGTGAGACAGCTCTCAGATTTAATCAAAAATATCTTCATTTGTGTTCCGAAGATGAACGAAAGTCTTACGGGGTTGGAACAACATGAGGGTGAGTAATTACATACAGAATTTTCCTTTTTAGGTGAACTATCCCTTTAAGGACATTTTTGTGTACTGTTAAACAGTAATCTATTTCGGTATACTGTGTCGTGTCACTACGTGTGTGTGTGTGTAAAATCTGAAATGATCTCATAATTACATTATTATCTTTAGTGTGTGTGTGTGTGAGATTGTTTTACATTTTATGTGTGTATTAACACTGAAACTATAATTCATTTTGTCTAGACCAACTTCACCTCTCAAGACCACCTCAAGGTACAGTAACTACAGCATTGCTGACTAACCAGAAAATAACATGGATCCAGATTGCTGACTAACCTGAAAAATGTGGCTTCTATCTTAAACTTTTAACAATTTCATTCACAGCATTAAAACCTACACCAAGGAGGATATTTCACCAGCTAAAACAACATCCTTCTCCACAAAGAGGTGAGAACCTGAAAGATTGTTCACATCACAATTGTTATATTTATTGCAAAAAATAATGCAGTGCAAGGAACTGAACTTTCATTTAGAGACTGAAATGTTGCTCACTGTAAATGTTATGTGTCTGTAAAGTGACTACAAGACTGAGGTGGTTACTGTGAAGTCATCAAAGGACATCACTGATGTGTGAGTGTCATAGATCAGTTCTTCTACACTGAAGGGTCACGACCCACAAATCTCGAGTATTGTATGTAATTTCAAATATAGTTAAAGTGTACTGCCGAATGTACTTGTATGTCATGTATTAAATATATTTGTAATTACACATTTGTAATGATGAAGTTACAATTAAGTAATGTCAAATAACACACTACAGTTAAAATTATAATCAATTACTTTACATGAACTTTAGTATGTTAGTCAACACATCAAAATAAGTGTAGTAAAAATAAGTGGACTTTAAAGTAAAGCTTTTTCTTTTGACATTATTACAAAGTGCACTTTTTTAAAGTGCCCATAAGTGTGTTAAGAAACAGTCATGAAAGTACATCTAAGTGGTGTTTATTTATTTCATTGATTTTAAATTATCTGAAAGTACAGTTTTTAAAAAATATATACTTAAAGATTTGAAGTACAAGTGCACATTCAATACAATAAAACACACTTTTTTTTGACAAGGGTAATGCTACTATTTTTGCATATTCTTTGGCCTATACTGTTCGTGGTAAAAGTAATAAACTTGGACGTTTGATTTTAAGGGTATTTTGTACTAAACCCTTTTGTTGTGTTTTGTGTATGTATTAAAATTAAATCTATAATTCATTTTGTCTAGACCAACACCTCTCAAGACCACCTCAAGGTACAGAAAACACAGCATTGCTGACTAACCAGAAAAAAACATGGATCCAGATTGCTTACTAATTTTGAAAAATGTGTCTTCTCTCTTACCCTTTTAACAATTTCATTCACAGCATTAAAACCTACACCAAGGAGGATGTTTCACCAGCTAAAACAACATCCTTCTCCACAAAGAGGTGAGAACTTGAATTGTTATATTTATTGCAAAAAATAATGCAGTGCAAGGAACTGAACTTTCATTTAGAGACTGAAATGTTGCTCACTGTAAATGTTATCTGTCTATAAAGTGACTACAAGACTGAGGTGGTTACTGTGAAGTCATCAAAGGACATCATTGATGTGTGAGTGTCATAGATCAGTTCTTCTACACTGAAGGGTCACGACCCACAAATCTCCTACATGTCTATCCTGATGGGTCACTGACAACAGAGACAAAACAATACTAAATGCAAATAATAAAATGCAGCTAACCACACACTCACTCACAGGTAGAATAGCAAAATAAATAGGTTTAATCAAATTTTAAAAGGGAGGAGAAAAGCTTCCGATATCTTCTGTCAACATTCTCAATTTTCCAACAAATATCTACTTATCCCTTGTGAAAAAAGAGCAATGTCTTTGGAAACAATATACTTTAAAAGTATAAACTTGTGTGAACTGTTTTCAAACACTTAATTACGTGTTAATAGCAATTTAATGAAAATGCATTGTACTTCATTTATATCAAATGCAATTAACTGAACTTTAGAGTATTTTTTGACCCACGTAGGACTTGAGTACATCTTATGTAATTGCAAATACAGTTAAAGTGTACTGCCGAATGTACTGGTATGTCATGTATTTAAATATATTTGTATGATGAAGTTACAATTTAGTAAGTTTCAAATATTAACTTTAAATGTAATATCAAATAATACAAAATTATAAGTACTTTACATGAGCTTTAGTATGTTAGTCAACACATCAAAAAAGTGTAGTTCTTTAAAACATGACAAGATTATGAAAAGATAATGATTTAAAATATGCTTTAAAGTAAATCTTTTTATTTGACTACTACAAAGTGCACTTTTTAAAAGTGTGTTAAGAAGCAGTCATGATAGTACATCTAAGTGGTGTTTTATTTAATTAATTTCTATATTATCTAAAAAGTACAGTTTTTTAAAATATACTTTTAAGATTTGAAGTACAAGTTCACATTCATTTCAATAATTCACACTTCTTTTTCACAAGGGTAATGTTAAAAAATGTTTTGCATATTTTTTGGAATATACAGTTTATGGTAAAAGTAATAAACTTCTGTGTTTGACTTTTAAGGATATTCTGTCCTAAACCACTGTAGTAGAAAATTTAACCAACTAAATTTCAAAACAATCTCTTAATTCAGTTGTTGTTGTGTTTTGTGCGTTTATTTAACTGAAACCTGTAATTCATTTTGTCTAGACCAACTTCACCTCTCAAGACCACCTCAAGGTACAGTAACTACAGCATTGCTGACTAACCAGAAAATAACATGGATCCAGATTGCTGACTAACCTGAAAAATGTGTCTTCTCTCTTAACCTTTTAACAATTTCATTCACAGCATTAAAACCTACACCAAGGAGGATATTTCACCAGCTAAAACAACATCCTTCTCCACAAAGAGGTGAGAACCTGAAAGATTGTTCACATCACAATTGTTATATTTATTGTAGGGATGCAGCGATATGAGCATTTTGGCTGATACGATAATTGTTTATACTTGAAAGCTGGTAACCGAGATATTGGCCGATAAATCTAAATCCAAATTTTTTTATAATTTTTATGTTTTTTTACAAAAACAAAAGTCTCATCATTAAGAGCCATGTCCCAAGCACACAATTATAATGTTTTCGTTATAATTTCATGTTGCTTATACGACAGACTTGCACATGTTTCACTGTATTTTCCTTTTTTTAAGTGATTCCAGTCATATTTCAAGCAATTCAAAACCATCATGCCGAACATTGTGTATCTGAACTGAAGTGTCTCAGCTGAAGGAAATAATAAAAATAATTATCGGCTTTAATATATCGGCCAAAATTCCTTATCTGGCCGATAACGATAACATTAATAATCGGCTGATACCGATACGGTGGCCGATATATCATGCATTCCTACTTTATTGCCGAAAATAATGCAGTGCAAGGAACTGAACTTTCATTTAGAGACTGAAATGTTACTCAGTGTAAATGTTATGTGTCTGTAAAGTGACTACAAGACTGAGGTGGTTACTGTGAAGTCATCAAAGGACATCATTGATGTGTGAGTGTCATAGATCAGTTCTTCTACACTGAAGGGTCACGACTCACAAATCTCTTGTATGTCTATTTTTTGCATATTGTTTGGCCTATACAGTTTATGGTAATAGTAATAAACTTGGATGTTTGATTCTAAGGGTATTTTGTCCTAAACACTTTTGTTGTGTTTTGTGTATGTGTTAAAATCAAATCTGTAATTCATTTTGTCTAGACCAACACCTCTCAAGACCACCTCAAGGTACAGTAACTACAGCATTGCTGACTAACCTGAAAATAACATGGATCCAGATTGCTGACTAACCTGAAAAATGTGTCTTCTCTCTTAACCTTTTAACAATTTCATTCTCAGCACTAAAACCTACACCAAGGAGGATGTTTCACCAGCTAAAACAACATCCTACTCCACAAAGAGGTGAGAACTTGAATTGTTATATTTATTGCAGAAAATAATGCAGTGCAAGGAACTGAACTTTCATTTAGAGACTGAAATGTTGCTCACTGTAAATGTTATGTGTCTGTAAAGTGACTACAAGACTGAGGTGGTTACTGTGAAGTCTTCAAAGGACATCATTGATGTGTGAGTGTCATAGATCAGTTCTTCTACACTGAAGGGTCACGAGTACATCGTATGTAATTTCAAATATAGTTAAAGTGTACTGCCGAATGTACTTGTATGTCATGTATTTAAATATATTTGTAATTACACATTTGTAATGATGAAGTTATAATTAAGTAATGTCAAATAACACACTACAGTTAAAATTATAATCAATTACTTTACATGAGCTTTAGTATGTTAGTCAACACATCAAAATAAGTGGAGTTCTTTAAACTATAACAAGATTATTAAAGCATAATGATTTAAAATGGACTTTAAAGTAAAGCTTTTTCTTTTGACATTATTACAAAGTGCACTTTTTTTAAGTGCCCATAAGTGTGTTAAGAAACAGTCATGAAAGTACATCTAAGTGGTGTTTATTTATTTCATTGATTTTAAATTATCTGAAAGTACAGTTTTTAAAAAATATACTTGAAGATTTGAAGTACAAGTGCACATTCAATACAATAAAACACTTTTTTTTTTTTGACAAGGGTAACTAATGTTACTATTTTTGCATATTCTTTGGCCTATACTGTTCGTGGTAAAAGTAATAAACTTGGACGTTTGTTTTAAAGGGTATTTTGTCCTAATTTTGTTGTGTTTTGTGTATGTATTAAAATCAAATCTATAATTCATTTTGTCTAGACCAACACCTCTCAAGACCACCTCAAGGTACAGAAAACACAGCATTGCTGACTAACCAGAAAAAAACATGGATCCAGATTGCTGACTAACCTGAAAAATGTGTCTTCTCTCTTAACCTTTTAACAATTTCATTCACAGCATTAAAACCTACACCAAGGAGGATGTTTCACCAGCTAAAACAACATCCTTCTCCACAAAGAGGTGAGAACCTGAAAGATTGTTCACATCACAATTGTTATATTTATTGCAAAAAATAATGCAGTGCAAGGAACTGAACTTTCATTTAGAGACTGAAATGTTGCTCACTGTAAATGTTATGTGTCTGTAAAGTGACTACAAGACTGAGGTGGTTACTGTGAAGTCATCAAAGGACATCATTGATGTGTGAGTGTCATAGATCAGTTCTTCTACACTGAAGGGTCACGACCCACAAATCTCCTACATGTCTATCCTGATGGGTCACTGACAACAGAGACAAAACAATACTAAATGCAAATAATAAAATGCAGCTAACCATATAATCATGCATAGATAGAAGAGCAAAATATATTGGCTTCCTATATCTTTTGTTTGAATTCTTAGTTTTCCTGCAAATGTCTATATATCCCTTGTGGGAAAAAAGTAAATAAAAAGTTTGTTCATTATATGATTTTAAGGATATTTTGAATTATTTAATATCTATCTATTAGAAACAATATCTTAATTCAGTTGCTGTTGTTGTTGTTTTTTGCTGTTTTGTGTGCGTGTTAAACTATATCCTATCATTCTTTTTATCTAGACCCCCTTCACCTCTCAAGACCACCACAAGGTACAGTAACAGCATTGCTTATTGCTGACTAAACTGAACAAATGTGGCTACTCTCTTAACCTCTTATTCATTTCAATTCTAGCATCAAAACCTACACTGAGGATGTTTCACCAACTAAAACAACATCATATTCTCTCCGATCCACAAAGAGGTGAGATCCTGAAAGATAATTCCAAGTAAACGCCTGTAAATCCTTTTCATTCACTGTAAGACAAAGAACATCACTGAATGCTTTTCTACAGCACTGAGGATCAACTGTTTGACACTCTCATACCAACATCAATCAAGTCATCCTACACAAAACATGATGGCAGGTATGTGGCATTTGCATATTTATAAGGTGTGAACCCATTTTTGGCGAGTTTGACATTTGCTGTGGCCTTTAAGTAGATTAACCAGTCTTATGACTGCCAGGATAAAAACACAAAAGCAGGTGCTCATTCGTGTGTCGATTCTTAGTCAGAGCTTACAACTTTACATTAGAGCTTCACTCTCAGTGCAGTAGTGTTTACTGTATCATGGATTTTTATCGTTCCTACAGTCACGAGGATGTATCGGTCTCCAAAACCACCAGAACTGTGTATTCAACAAATGACAGGTAGGATGGTGTTTCGTATTTAAGCATCTTTGCCTGATACGTTATATGTTGTTTGTTACACTTCTCTATCTTTTTAAATGCATAGAAATGAGTGGAGTACTGTCACAAGTCCTTCTTACACCAGATCATCATTCACAGAGAGCAGGTTCGACAAATGTCTTGTCAGTTAAACATTACAAGAATCACTGATTAGATTGGATGGGGTTTGTAGACTTAGTCATGTCATTTTGTCCACAGGCCCGTTGATTACATATCTGACTCCATCACATCCAAAACCTCTACAACTGTGTACACATCACCGGAAAGGTATGGAAACGGAATTGAATTATGCCAGAGTTTGATGCCATGTGTCGTGCACTTGCGAAATGCTTTTCACTTTATTGCAGGACAGTGAGCTCAAAGGACATTTGCACATACTGCCAAAAAAACATGTTCACAGATGAAAAGATGATTCTGGATGACATGAATATAAACTGTCATGCACGTTGTTTCAAGGTTCGTTTTTTTTTTTTAAACTCATATTAAGCATATTAAAAATATCAATATTTATGAAAATGATATGAATATGGAATATGAAAGTTTTAATGTTACTAATGAAATGTATTAAAATTTTAACAAAAATTCTCTTTTTATATTGTTACTTATCAACTAAAATGGTTTTCATACTTATTTTCTTATAATAATTTGAATTCAAGAATTTATAAAGATTTTTTTTATTCAAGAAAAAGAATTTTAAAAGTATTATTATTATTTGTATTATTAGTGCGGGGTGTGTAACTCGTCTCTGGGACACCTGAAGGCCGGGGACAGCTTATGGGTCTACCGTCGTGCAGTTTACTGTGAGAGTTGCTTTGGTGTCACTAGGGGTAAGAAGACTATACACTCTACTATTTTTTTTTTTTTCATTTCATTATTCTGAAACATACTACCAATATACTTGCTAAATGAATCAAACGTTTGTTTTACAGGCAAATGGATCAGCTGAGACTACATTTACCATTCATTAAGTGATTTTAAGAAAGAGATGGCAAATGAACTAGCCTTTAACAAAACTTTCCCATAGCTCTGATTTGGACTCGGGTATTTGAAGTGCATTTTTGGTGGTGGACTTCTGTCTGATTATAGACTTTGGGGCATTTATTAATTGCATTGATTGCCATACTTCCCTGATGATGTGACAAGCATCTCATCTAATTACTAAAATAAGATTAATATTTTAAAATAAGAATAATCATATGCTCGAATGTGATGATACATGTTTTACTTTGTGTTTTGAGTTGCTTTATTGTACTTTTTTGTCACTATTGTTAATTAAAGAATTATAAGCTATGATGATAAGAAGCCTTCTGTTAGTTTTCTTCTGATTGTTTTTATTGTTCAGAATCCGGTTGAGCGTCATTCCAGAGAATAGTCATGCAGTACCTTTCACTGCTATAATGAATATGCTTCTGTTGGAAGTATCTAAGGTATTTATATTAAAGAGACTTGCAGACTTTAAGAAATATGCTATGATCAAGACCAGACACTTAAATTTATAACTCATGACAGGATTCCTAAGAGGATACAAATAAAGAGCTAAACTTAGCCATTGCTCAGTAAAATACTGAGAGAGTCTGCTTACATGAGAGGGTCAACTTGAAGTTCATTTTGATGTTATTAAAGTCTTTTATGTTAATATCCAGATACCTATAATTTTGTCAAACAGGGTGGAATGTTTTAGAGGAAGACGAACCAACCAAACATCAAAACACCACAGAATGCTTTAAAACAATAACTTGTGGTGTTGTTTTTCCACCAAAAATGGTGTCAATTAAAAAGTGCACGTCCTGGGGGATGACAACAGTAATGAAGAGACTTTTGTAAGTTTAGGGATTTTACAAAGTTTTACAGGATTGAAATTGATTTTGAGTGTTTTAAAGATGTTTTAAAATGTTTTTGAAAGAAGTCTCTTATGCTCAACAAGGCTGCATTTATGATCAAAAATACAGTAAAAACACAGTAATATGGTGAAATATTATTAAAATGTAAGATAACAGTTAAATATATTTTAAAATGTAATTTAGTCCTGGGATGCAAAGCTGTATTTTCAGCATCATTACTCCAGTCTTCAGTGTCACATGATCCTTCAGAAATCATTCTAATATGCTGATTTGCTGCTCAAGAAACATTTATTTTTATTGTTGATAACAGTTGTGCTGCCTAATGTTTTTGTGGAAACTTTGATACTTTTTTCAGGATTCCTTGATAAATAGAAAGTTAAAAAGAATTTTGAAAAATCTATTTACTGCATCCTTACTCAATAAAAGTTTAAATTACTTTAAAAAAAAAAAAGTAATGACCTCAATGGCTTTGAACACTATAGCCTAGTGTATATTATGGGATTAATACCTCTAGTTCAGGTAAGGAATATAATAGAATAGAATAGAATAGAATAGAATAGAACAGAACAGAATAGAATAGAACAGAATAGAATAGAATAGAGCGGCACTCCAAATGCAACCATTTTACTGCTTGTCGTCATCTGAATGAAAGAAAGGATGGCAAAGAGCCTGGGCAGTGTGACTGGTGTTTTGCCTGGTGGTGGTGGTCGTGTGTGTTGTGTTTTGAACTGAGGGGGAGGAGACAGAAGCATGAGCAGCACATCAGCATCTGAATGAAGCATGTAACCCGTTTGAAAGCAGTGCGAGACTGGGCACACAGGGTAAACAACACCGCCACCATCTTACTACTGTTCATATGCTTTTCTCTTCAATGGACGGACTATTTTTCAACCCGCAGATGATGGCGGACGTCAATGGCAACAGTAAGATGATGAACGCAGAACTGGAGGTGAAAAAGCTCCAAGAGCTCGTGAGAAAACTGGAGAGGCAGAACGAGCAGCTCAGGACGAGAGCGAACGCTGCGAACAACTGCACCCTCAGCTCCCGTGGGTTACCAGCTCCGGCATCGGCCTGTCCCGCAGCTCCGGCTGGCCCAGACACCGGGAATCACTGCGCTTCACCCTCATATTCTCCGTCTTTTGGACGGTCGGACTCGGATGAGCACTACCCGTATTTTCATCCGCAGTCAGTGACTGGTGCTGATGAGGATGATGCTACTGTACTGGATGAGGTGGAAATAATAGACCTTCATGTTGTTCTTCCCATCGATGGAGAGTCTGATTATAGCTGGTACTGATGCTGTATCATTTGCTAAGTAAACAATAGTGTCATTCTTGGAGGATTCGATTTGATTTTCTGCGTCGCATGCTCTTGTTATCCCTTACATTCAGTTCACATGAAATGTCACCATAGAATATGTGTCCATGTCCATTGTTAAATTTATGGGGGGATATATTCATTAGGAGATTGGCTTGCTGTTTGCATCTGGTGATGTGAAAAATGTCCATGTTTTACTTGAGACAATTTGTCTTCTAAATGTGAAGTGCACAGGAGCATGACTATTTGACTGTTTGAATTATTTCATAAAAAATGGTAAAAAAAAAAAAAAAAAGTAGTCTAATTTAAACCTGTGCATTATACAGAGAAATAAAAACAGACAAAATCTGATATCTGTTTGTGATGGGACATTTATTGCAACACTATTACGTTGGGAGATCACATCAAAATATAGGAGCCACAACAACTTAAACCTTGAAATAATAAAGCCAACACAATTTCCAGACAAACCAAATACTAAGACACAAAATTCTTAATAATGTTGTGTTAATTTTCATAAATTTCAAGTTATGCTGATAATATATGTTGTAATGACAAATACAGTATTAACTTTTAAAATATGCAAAAAAGAATAAATAAATAAAACTAGTGGTCCCAGACTTGAAGCACACTTCTGTGTCCGTACAGGTCATACAAGTTATACTGGTTTTATCATTTGTACAAAACATATTGAATGTATAAAATACTCAAAGCACACTTCATGTCTTCATGGTGCAGGGTATTGATAAAGATTGAAAATTTACTAAAAGCATTCTTTCACATTTATGTGCTGAAACTTATTCAGTGTTACATTTTCATGAAAACCAATAATCATTTGGACATTCACAGAATTGTTTAATAATTATCAAGTCAATTAAACATCATTCACATCCTCAATCAAAATCTAGACCTATACTAATTTATTCTTGCAAAATAGTTAGTAGAAAACTTTTTTTAATAAGTGAAATCATATTTTTTTTTAGATAGTGAGTTTTCAGGTGATCCCTTATTGTCCCTCTCAGACAAGTGACTAAGATTTAGCAGATAGATAGTGGTCATATATCCCTATGCATCTTTTAATCAGCTGAACTAATACAAATATTAGGTTAATAATAAAATCCATGGACAATCTAGATAATGAATGTTTGCAAAAGTCCAGATTGGAATGTTTTGACCCAGTTTTTATGTCACCAGGTTGTACGTGTCTTCAAAAGCAAAGCTGTTTCCTCATCTTCTCCTCAGTCCTCTTCAGTGGTGTAGACATGTGCTGGACAACCCCAGACCAGAGGTGGAGTTAGCCAAACGCTCCTTGTGCTACAAACTGGACCAAGGTACCAACAACAAGCGATATAGGAAATGACAGTAGTTACATTCCCAGTTTTGTTCTTCCACCATTCCCATGAATATGACGTCATTTCTGAAATGTCAGTGGTATAGAAATTGAAGAGCTTGAAGTTTTTAGTTACTTACAGTGATTGACCATTATAGCTTTTTAATGGAGATGGATGGCTGATATAATACAGATACATATGCAATTTAATGGTAGAAAATTGTATGATGTATTGTACACAAAGAACAGTGGAAGATGGGGGCGTGTTAACTGTTAATCAGCCTACTTGAAAAAGCTTCAGTGAAGAACATGGTTTTTAATAGTACCCTAAAAAAATGAATAAGACTAAAATTAGCCATGTAGTGTTTGAGTGGCTAAAGAATAGATAATGAATAGATTGTTTTCAGTACATCTGTAGTTGAGTTAAGCTGCTTGAGGGGATGGTATCCATAGAAACAATTCCTAAATAAAACCTGCCTGTAGAATCAGCACTAGCTAACACAGATTTAAGACTGTCCCGGAGATGTTGTGAAATGTTTTTGTATCAATTATTCCTTTGGATCAGGCCATACATAAATGATGTATGAGGTGCATATACAGAGATGTGTGTTGTGGAGTTGCGGCGCTCTGAGAGGCTTTTGAAAGGCCAGATTCAGTAAGCTTGGCTCTCTGCAAACGGGGTCATGAATACATCTTTGTTCCGGCGGCCTCTGAAAACCTTTGTTTTTGTGGGTAGCCATGAATGCTTGTTTTTATGCGATCTGGGAAAGTCTAATTGTTAAGGTATGCAAAAGTACTGTGGTTTGCTTGAATAACAATTATTCATTCTACTCATTTTCAATCTTTTAAGGGAAGAGTTGATAACACTTTACAATCTCATTTGTTAACATTAGTTAATGGATTAGCTAACATGTTAATTAGTAAAAAATACAATTGTTGTTTGTTCATGTTAGTTCACAGTGCTTTAAGTAATGTTAACAAGATGCAACCTTTTATTTGAAAAATGTATTATTAAAAGTTCAAATTAACGCTAGCAAATATGATATACTTTATTGTTAGTTAATGTTAATAATGTATTATGTAATTAACTAATTTGAACTATTGAAACCTTATTGTAAAGTGTTACTGAAGAGTTTGTCCCAAAATGAAAGTTCTTAACCTTTCTTTCTTCCATGGAACACAAAAGGAGTGATTTGGAAGCATGTCTTAGTTACCTTTTTTTAATAGTCAGAAATTACTTCAATTTTTATAACTGTTTATTTTTGGCTTTAATGAAAATAATACCATTTTTTTTTTATATGCTCAATGTGGACCCCATTTGGTTTATAGAGATAAAAAAATAAAAATAACTTTCTAATATTTAATATGGTCTCAGTGGAAAGCATTAAAGGGATAGTTCACCCAACAATGAAAATTCTGTCATTTATAACTCACCCTCACGTCATTCCAAACTTATAAGACTTTTTTTCATCTTCAGAACACAATGAAGATCTTTTTAATAAAATCTTTCTGTCACTCCATTGACATCTACGCAACTACAACTTTGACGCTTTAAAGAACGTAACACGAGACTGAACCTCATTGGTTCTCGCACGTCAATCGAACATGCTTGAGCTTCCGTTTACCACAACTGATTTGTGAGTTGATGAATGTTTTTATGTGAATAAAAGCCTTAATTTAATCTGGTCATCATATAAAGCGATCATGTCTCTTGGACTAAACCGCTTAATTCATACGGATTAGGGGCTTTTTGAAGGGTCAAAGTGTCAGTTGTGTAGCTGTCAATGGAAGGACAGAAATCT